TTCCCACCTTTCCTGTAAATATAAGTACATAAATGAGTAAATGTGTACTCTACATTGTATACTAGAAACACCATCGAAGGCCTGATCAATTTGCACAACTAGCAATTGTCTGACTGTGAGGGCAATAGTTGCATTAATGACTAAATTGGTGTGCTATCTAATGGTGCCAACAGTGCGTCGCGTCAGACGGAACTCTAAGAGCATTGTCACGTCGGGTCAAGAAATCCTTTTTCTCCGCCCACCTAGGGTACATTTTCAGGTGTAACACACGCGCGATGGAAACGGTAAAGCGAACAACACTGTAATCTTAAAATGTGCTCCCGGCAGTATGATTCTCTATAGCAGCAAAAGCAACCTAATAAAAGCTTACGGGTTTGTTGGAAGCCAGTCATGAGGCGATAACAGTTTTTGTGGCGATAGTAATACTGCACCCATCGACCGGTCATCACTTGCGGTCAAACTGTTTTTTCAGTTGCTAACACAGCGACCCACTAACCACTACACAGGGAACGCTTTTGCTGGCTTTTTCACCTGAGTGAAGGTCGACAACTGATCGTTCGAACCGAAAATGCGACCCGATGACCAACTTCAGTAACTATATGTACCATTGTTGACAACTAAACTTTTACCAGTCTGCGGACTCTGCCTTGCAGGCTGCCTGGCGCCCGCTGCTTCTGTATCTATTTTGAGTACACATATATATTCGGTTCACGAGCGTTTTTCTTCCGCATAATCTGCGGTTGACCGTTATCATCTGGCTTTCTTGGTACCTGTGTACTACTGCACTAGAGGCAGTTGTATTTGCTTTTGGTCCACCACAATACGTTATCCGCATCTAGATGTCAGTTACTTTGTCTGTAATCACAGGAAGCTCAGTGTAGGTGACCCTCTGCCAGAGAATGCGAATGGCTGACGGAAAGATTTACTTAATTAGCACTGTCCGAAAATGTGGACACCGAGCCTATAAATGGGTAAAACGGTTATTAAACAAATATGGAATATTTCCACATCGTAATATCAAACGTACGTTTGCATTTATTTTCCAGTATTTAATCGACGGAGAAGTCAAAAATAATTACTGCAAATTAGCTATGGCTTATAGCGGAAACACGGTGAGTGCGTTTCTTTTATCCATCAGTGCTCTTCATAATTATTGTCACGATGACCGAATTCCCAGAATTCATGTTTTCAGAAATGTAACTCAAGTACTTTTCGTGACACACTCGCTTCCACTTTATCACACCGAGCTTGCCGCTGCTCACGATCGATGCTCGTACTGATAAACGTAGGCCAGACAGGCCGTAACCGATGGTATCGATCCGATTGTCCTGAACCATCGTGTGCCATCGGGCTGTGGCACGCAGTGTCTGTTAGACTTGTTCAGAAGGAGAAACCATGAATTCTCAGCCAAATGACTTCGGCGCGTGGAACCTCAATGATCGGGCTTATCCAGAATGTCGGAACCACGACAATCCAGAGGGTGGCCCGACATACCCCCAACCTGGCTACTACGGTGGCGCACAAATGGGCCCATGTGCATCTCAACAAGGTTTCGAATCTCCTTGCTCTCCAATAACCCAACCCCCATTTGGAAGTCCACAGTCACCGCTACAACCAAACCATCAGTTGTACGTGTGTCCTCTTGGATTTCCTCCGCAGCAACAGCCGTGTGTAAGCCACGCATTAAAACCGCTACATTTTGTACTTTTTTTGATATGATCCGGTAAAATATCGGGTTACATTTTATTAGCTCCATAGTCAAAAGTGTATAGTGCTATCGACTTAGTGGCGATGTGTCACTGTAGAGCCGATCTTGCTCCTCAAGCGTACATACCCATCAAATAGTGGTTTTGGCCAACATCCCTAACCAGTTCGAAAGCCGTCATGGAGTGCAGTATTTTACGGCATGCAACACCCAACCTGCATCCGGCTACCTGACCACTTTTGTGCACCGGCTTTGTGTCCCCTCTGTGACAATACGAGCCTGATGCACAGTGTAGCAATCTGCTGAGAGCGGCTATGAAAACAGTGGTAAAACATAGCGGGTGTGGTGTAGGGATCAACATCGCTATAGCTTAGAAATACACAAAGGGACAACCGGGCCAATCCACTGCGGTTTACCCAAACTTTCATATCCAAATCCCCTGGCTTCATACTATGGATATACAAAGACTGCACTTTAGAACATTTTCCTTTCCCAAACTAACGGGGTTATGAGGGTTTTACTACTGTGAGATACTATGATGGCTTGGCTTCGGAAATAATAATGCAACAGTGTAAGCACAATCACATAATTAGTGCACAACATAAAACTAATAAAACAGTCCTTTATAACGTAAAAATAACTGATCTAGAGCACCCAACGGGGGGTTTGTTGGGTGTTGACCGCTCAAAACACGCGGAACTCCACGACTGGTTTTGAACGTATTCGACCTCATCAGGTAGAGTGCTTCTTAAAACCGTATAACCAGTCATTGACCGTCAACAAGTGTTGTCCATCTTGGCTGGGTTGTTAAAGAGGTAAACATTTCTCTAATGTTCCGATTGCCCCGGGCTAAAGGCCTGCTATCTCTACCGGATAAGATAATACAGGGTCGAAACGCGTAGAGGAGTGCAGCGTTTTCACTCGGGTAACACCCAATATCCGTCTGCTCTAGCATTTACAGCCCCAGCGCTTGAATTTGCCAAGCTTCGATTCAATGGGAATCGCGCTCCACTTAGAGATAGCGGGTCGCAATCCAATCACACAACGCTGCAATCTAATGGGAGTTGTTTTGAGTTCCACTATCTCTATGCTTGAAAGATGCATGCGTGCGAATGGGGTACTTAATTCGAACTTACATTCCATTTTCAAACGATCTGTCGTGCATCTACAGAGACAAATTTTATAGAACGCGAAAATTCTTTAGACCGAATGTTCATTTAGGTTTTGGACGTTTGACTCTAGGCTGTCTATCAAAGTATATATTACCCGAAATATTTTTAACTAAGTACTAGACTACTTTGCTGTTTTATAATTTTCGACCCTGTAGTGTGCAGTAGGTAGTTCTGAATAGTGGATTGCGTCAAGGCTATTCCTTCATAGAACTTGGTAAAACTGTATCATCGTAGCTCCTTGCTGGCTATTCCTACAGATAGTCACATCGGTGATCTGAAATGGTACCAGCAGTCACATCGGTGACCTGAAACGTACCAACAGTCATCTGATTCGGAAACAACTTGCTAGGTAGGCTGACAAGATTGTTTTTGTCCTCCGCGGTTCAATGTCCTTAGTGCTTACACAGCACACCTGAACATTGTTGTATTGGTAGATATGTGTGATGTCCAGGGCTGCCTGATAATATTGTGAAAAGATATCTTTAAGTCATCTGTGCGCAGAAAAGTTTCAGGCCGCTAGCCTCACTTTAGGCACAATCGATTTCCGGCGGTTGACGGAGTCACACGGCTTGAACTCATAATGCTACCGTTTTCCTATTGCTTGTTTCTTGTTCCTCAGCAAGCGGACACCTGGATTTTCTCCTGTGTCAACCTAGCAGGGTCTCACAAAGGGCACAAAACTTGTATGCCTCTTCTCATGAAGTGAACCACGAAGAATTCTTTGATGTCTGCCTTTATGCCGTATAATCTAACAACAATGATATTCATGCAAACTAGTTCAGAAAGTTTGACATTTCATACCTCATCAAAGTTACCTTTTCGCACGCTATCTAACTGCAGCGGTTAACAGATCTGAGACAATAGGATCCATTCGCGTTTCGTTATTTTTCTCAACTTTCCAACCTTTCTTTTTGCAATTTAGAAAAACGAGAGCAGCTCTCCGTGTATTCTAAATTGTAGTCTGCCACAAATGAACCCGGTCAGTTGAACATCCTCTTGGTTTCCTTCAATATGGTGACCTTAGTTGGCAGCACAATTAGTATCTAGATCCCTCACTGATTCGTGGTCCGCTGCCTAGTTCATCGTGTTTAAAGCTGCCATCCATCGATGATTGTTGTTTGGTGAGGGACGTAAAGTTGTATCGAATAAGGATTAACGAGCTGCCTTTGTTTGACTTGGTACGCTAAGTTGCCAACTGTGATCTAGACGCCCATGGAATGTGACCGAAGGAACAGAACTGGTCCGTGTGACCAACTTGATAGCCACGGGACGCTAACCGAACAGGCGGCGCCTTAATCAAGCTGCCTCGGGGAATGGTAGCGGTTTGGCTACGTGCCAATAACCTCCCTGACCTGTTTGACTAAGTTAACGTAGAAATATCATTTGTTTTCATGAGCAACAAAGTTGCCCCTAGCTTTAAACACAGTTCAACGGCTTGGTTATTTCTGGATATAATCCAGCACCATCAATATGCGAATTTTGAGAGTTGCGTACCCGTGCATCACAACGAATCACCTTCATTTAACATTCTGTCTGTTTCTGGAGGGCAGAACTTTGTGACAATGCACGTAGCGCTTTCTAGCCCAATTTCGGAAAGTGAAATGCAATGACAATCCAACGCAGCATGATACCCTACCCTGAGGTGTAACGGCTCCCCGGCCATCAAGCTATATATCGGTGTACCTTCCATTCAGTTCTGGTAGCGATGTACGGCTGTCTTTCATGTGAGCTACAAAGTTGTAGCCTACACTTCATCACCACTCCGGTAGTGCATTTTGCTAAAACGCTACCCACGAAAACATATTGGTGCGCGACTATTCATTATCCGCTGCGTAGCAGAAGTCAAAGTTGCTTCCTGAAGTATCGGTCACCCACGTTGACTTACCGCCCAAAGTTGACATTGGTTCCGTAGTAGTATAAGTGCGAGTATTGGAGAGTATAAGGACGCCGAACAACTGTATCCGCACGAAGAGCTGTTACACACTGGGTTCGTGGTTAACAGCTGGACGAGCTGGTTCTACCGAGCATGGTTTGCATTGTTCGCTCGCATTTACTTGTACGCTTTCTTGACTTACCGTCTATTTCTACTACTTGCTTGTTTCGGTCTATATATTTCGTTTCAGTTCAATCCCACCCTACGCCCTTACCCGCACTTCAATGCCGAAGAGGACTGTGAGAAGCTACGCAAAGCGATGAAGGGCATTGGTACCGACGAGAACGCCATAATCGATGTACTAGCACACCGAACAGCGGATCAGCGTGTTCAGTTGGTTAAACAATTCAAAATCATGTACGGCAAGGATTTAATTAGCGAGCTGAAGTCAGAACTGACGGGTCATTTTGAAGACGTGGTCGAGGCGATGTGCTACACATTGGAAGAACTGGATGCGCGGGCGCTACGGGAAGCCATGAAAGGTGCAGGTACAAACGAAGGCACACTTATTGAAATTTTGGCTACTCGAAGTAACGAACAGATAAAGAAAATCAAAGAACTTTACAGTTCCAGTAAGTTCCGGTGATTATTTTCTAATTCTGCCGCATTTTTACGACACTAAGCGCTTGATCTAGAAAAAATCTAAAATTTTCTACGATAATTGGATGTTCCCTGTGCGAAACGTTTTGACTGGACGGACCAATATCATGTACTTGTGTAGAATCTGGATACCAGCGGAGCAAGTCAATAGATGTAGCTGTTAGCAGAGTGTATTGAAAACACCCAGGTTAACCGGTGCACCGACTAATGCAATTTGCCATGCTAGCACACCAGGTAACCGGACAATCTTTACGTAAGTAAATAGACTGCAGTCACGCCCTCTGTAGCCTATGCACCAGATGTGGATCACTTAAAATACCATTCAGAACTGGTGGATTCACGGAGTTAGTAACCCTGAAGTCCGCCGTCTAGCATGTAAGAGATTCGCGCTGACGCATCCACGGACCTCGAGGTCTTTACACTGATGATCAAATACATTGGTCTATGGTCTTCCGCCGATGCTTCCCTCCGTCGAATGAAACAGCAAAACGACTTGATGTTACTGATGAGAGGATTGGATCCGACCGGTTTGTGGATTTTTGTATTATTTAATGCATGACTGCTCCCCCTTCCGGAACTTAGTGCAAAAGATCATGCTGTGCCCACGAGGACCACCCTGGCATTGTTCGTACAAAACGTCAAGTGGATTCATGTTTTTGATGGCTAGGGATGTCACACGAAATCGAGGAACTGGTTCATCGGCGCTCTTCTTACTAAAAAGCAGACAAGAGATCAAGACTAGTTAGCAATCCATTATAGCCCGTCAAATATCCTATGCGATCGTTGGCAAAGATAGCTGTTGATTTCATGGGCCCGCTCGGCTCAGCTCCACAGCATCAAAAGAAAGATTTGGTTGCGACGTGTTCTTATAGCAAATGACCCGAAGTTCACTTGTGTGGAGAAGTGACGAATGCAAATATTCTCAAATGGCTGAAGAACATTTTCCTCGTTTCTGATTACCAGAGGCGATAGTGACGGACAACAGTCTGCAGTTCACGGGCAAAGAGTTTCGCTTGTTTTTACAACTGCAGGCCATTCGACACTCATCTATTACTTCTTATAAGCCAGGGGCGAACGGCACGATCGAGTGCTTCAACCGGTCATTAAAAGAGCATCCAAGCTATTCGTCTATCTGCTACAGCTTAGGAAGATGCAAGTTCACGAGCAGTCTTTTGCTACAGAAACGCACATCGCCATGCAACAAACAAGACACCGGCGGTAACCATGCTTCTGCGTCCTCTACGGACAAAGTTGTATGCCGTACACCGTACCCCTGCAAATAACAGCACCGACAATTTAGAACGTCACCAGAGGTACCAAGCCGCCTATCGGAAGTCTGCCACTCCATTCCAACGGGGAACCTTTGTACGCATCAAGGGAAACGCGAGGTCAAAACGCAGCCCATGTTATCCGAACGAATAAGGATAACACGAGTCTTGTGGACTGGCACTTATCAGTTGGAAGATGGCCGCACGGTCAACGCGAGGAAGCTACTTACAAGTCCCACTCCCTTACCATGGCGGGACTACCAACAGAACGACAGTACGCAGGACAGACCGGAAAACAATACTACCCGATCGATATCGATCTGCTGCTCTGCATGACTATGCGGATGGTGCTGTGTATTCCCATCACAGGTTCAGATAGATCGTGGTGCGTACACTAGTCACTGACAAATGTATGCACACATTCACACACGAACACCACCAGCCATACTGTTTCACCCCTACATGTAATGATGATAGGTAGACCGGACCTCCAAGTACCTTACTACTTCGTACACTGTGGTTCTCTACCTGTGTACACAACGCTTAGGGGTTGGGATACCGGGAGATTGACTACGCATCAGTGCATCATTTTGTTTCACGTTAGTTTCGCTTGTGGTAGTAGAAACAGCAGCTGCTGATTTTTGAGTGTTTTTGAATACAACTACGGCCCAGTTGCCACTGATATTGACATTTTTTCCTGAAGTTGGCGAAGCCTGATGGGTAAAGTTGGGTTGGGGGAAATCCAAGTCAAGCTTTATGAACCCGACTGGGAACATTTTCAGCATTTTACACTAACGCTGCGGATGTAGTGAGGCATAAAATTGACATGAAATTGTAACCAAAGCGTAAGAAGAAGAATACACGCATGCACATCACTCAACTAAGCGTTCATGCCTGGTGCTGTTCCTTTTTTTGGATTCCCCGAGAAAACGGGATAAATACGGTAAGATCCAGTTGTGATAACTTGTTGTGCGAGAAAATAAAACCCTAAATTTAGAGTGGGTAGAAGAGTAGGATGGGGCTTTAGATAAATCGGCATGGAGAGGGGGGGGCGAAAGGTCAGTTAAAACCTTTGGTGAAAAATGGCGGGGCCTTTAAGTCTGCTTCGCCTTTTTAGCTGAACATCATTTTTTTTCATTATCTACTGTAGACATATCATTTTTGTAAGAAGTAGCTGGCAGATGTTTCCTTAAATCAACGTCCAATGTCCTTACTCAACCCATCTTTTGAATATGAACGCTGAGAAATCGCGCGTGATCTCCGATCTATCAGCTTTGGACACGAAAGTTTACGTCAACCGTAACGATTTATGAAGAAATGTTTTAATGAAACCTTGCTCTTCTACATGGACGCAACTCCCAAAGATATAGTGGAGCGTTATCCGACAGTTACTTTCTCGATGTACGACAGTGCGCGCTTCTCATCTTTCTACCCATTCTTACACTTTAGCATTTTTGATGGTGCCCGTTTAGTACTTTTGCAGTTGATAGTGTAAAATGCCGAAAATGTATCCATTTGGCACCTAAAACTTGTGTTGACTTGACTTGATTAGTTATATGCACCAAAATGCTTAGTAACGATGAACTCTAACAGTGAGACCTGGAAATGAGCTTGATGGAACACACTCAGTGTAAACTCCTTTTGTAGAAGACCAGGAAAGTGAAAGGTGAGCCATATAGCAAATAAGGAAGAATACAAGCAGTGACGAGTTTGTGAACCAAAGAGCAGAGTACTGCAAGCATTTTATGTCTCAGAGCATTAAATGGTAATTTTCGCACCTTGCGGAACGTTTCGTCAACGTGTGTTGACCATGATAGATTATGAATTAAACGTGCAGCAAAATATTTACCAGTGGATGAACTGGATGTGTTACGGTTGCTCACGACCATGAGGCGAGAATTGCTTGCCAACATCAGACGTTTATCAGAGTGGAGAAGAGAGAAAGTTACATCGCGGCATTCAGAAACGTTGAGAATAAGGGATTCGGACGACAACCAATGCTGAAGCTCGTTCAACCCGCTTTGAGGAGCCGTTGATGCTTCAGCAGTTTGAGCAGTGATGCCTAGGACTACCTTGTCAACGCACTTACATTCAATAAAGTGAGGGGAATTGGGAGCACTTCGATGTATAGTGCGAATGGAAGAGGGGAAGAGTTTGCTCCTTGTAAGACGACCCACTCGTCAATAAGATTGCGTTTTTTAGCGTTTAGCCGGTTAAAATGAGATGGGTTTTACGAAGTAGTTGTTCACTAGCTTACAAACTGCTGCATGGGCACTATTTGCAGAAGTGGTATGCCGACACTTTCAAAAGCGTTGGTGTAATCAAGGAAGATGAGCTGCACAATCTTGCAGTTCCAATGAAGGTGCTCTAGTGTGGACAAGGTAAGTTACAGCATCCAACGTGGAACGTCGGGGTTCGCTCACAAGCTAACATACGTCCATGGTCGAAGTGCTGCTTGAGTTCCAATGCACAACTGGTCGCTTCTAGACTTTCAGCATGACGGATGCACAGGCAATTGAACGGAATTTCGTGGAGACATTCTTTGGTAAGGGCGTTATCCTAGCACGTAACCAAATGTCGGTGTTCCTCCGCTTCACTTTACGATGATAAATTATTTTCCAGTTCATTCTGTCTGACCATATTTTGTCTGTTTTCATCCATGAAATTTCATCCTAGTTTAGTTGACTTTTATTGCCATGGCAGCGCGCGAGTGAAAGCAGATGGGTTCACTTAGTATGCGTAAGTGGACTATGGTTGGACAATAGTGCTTCGATCACCCCGTGGGATTGTGTGGTTGTTTGAGAACGTTGCTGAGCTTGAACACCTTATCTACGTGAACAGAAACAGATGTCAGAATAGGAATGGGACATTGTGTAACTGATAGGGCGTGTTGAATTAAATCTAGGTCATGAAGTGGTTCTCTTTGGCGAAATGGAGACGCGATCCTCTCGATGCGTTCGCCTCAGTCCATATGCCAACGCACTTGCAGCAACGACCTACATGATCGATGGTTAAGGATTTTAACAGACTGTGTCAGTATTAGTCAGGAGGCCCATACAGTATTCACAGAGAAATCCCCCTTTCTTACTTGTTTAACTACTAAGCAGCATGGCATCCAAGTAACTAATCCAGGAGTATCACAAGAAGAGATATGGCAGCAGACTTCTGCGCGTTGTAAGCATTTCGTTTGTACTGAATAGCTGCGAAGGAAGTCCATCCAGGTGTTCCTTACTTAGACCTAGCATAACGCAAGGTCGCTTAGTAGTACTCGTTGTGTGAATAGACCGTGACGTGCTATCGCATGACCGGTACTGAAGCGAACCTTGATCAATTCGATTACTGAAACCGCGACTGCCGAATCAGTTGGATCTCATCAGTGGAGATAGCAAGTATTCGAACACGGAGCCATTGAAATGTTTGTCGATATCTTTTCCCCCCACGCTCCGTGCTCGAGTACCTGGCATCTCATAAAATATATAACTGATAGTTTAGTGCAGTATTTTGCGACTGGTAACACCGGATATCCGAACGCAACATTGCATACGCTGCTTGTTTTTCAAAGCAACCAAGGACGACACAGTATTGCCCTTGAGTTTTGGATTAGCATCGTGGCCATAAACTGGATTGTTTTCTTAACTACACCGCTGCTTCCGGTTGTATTAGTGCAGGACCGCAACTTCGTATTTCGCTTTATGCAGTGCCTA